ACACCTACTGTCAAGAATGGTATTTTTTTCCTGTTACTGAGCGTCCAACCAATATATAAGAAGGGGAGGGGAGCAAAAGAGGCTCTCTATCCGTAAGCAGTAGAAACGGGGCGCTAATAACCCTGAAAGATGCGTAAAGAACTCCTGGTGCAAAACTCGAATTACCGGAAAGTAGATAGGGGCATCTAATATTCTTCACGTTTTCCCTTGTCGGACATCTGCCCATCAATGAGCCTGTAGAGCAGGGGAAATTCTAGGACGACCACCCCTCCGCTCCTCCCCCTTCCCGCCCCGCTTCCCCTCCGCCTTCTGAATTCCTTCCTCAGTACGCCTCCTCCTTGTAGTGGTGGGCGGGGAAATAGCGCGCGTGAAACAGGAAAAACCAATAGTCCAAAAAAAATTTCTCTTGTGATCAAACATGCCCACCCCCTCACCAATCGCCAAACGCCACCAGCTTCGATTTCCACGACGGATGATGTGCCCTGGTTCCGGGTGGGTGGACCGATTTCATGTTTGCCGATCCCACCCAGGACTCTAGTAAACGCCCCCTGCTAGATTAACGTTGCCAAAATTAGCTTTTTTAAAAGTCAGATTTAGCACATAGGCAATCCCAGAAATTACGGAGGGCTGATAGGCCGAGTGTGCTCTGGATCCCGCGGGAGAGTGGTTGTAACTGCGGCCTCAGTTTCGCGCGTGGTTAATGCTCGCCTCAGTTTCGCGATCACTGCGACACTCTTAAAAACCCCTCTCCCTGCCCTTCATTATATTATATTATTATTGTTATTATTATTATTATTATTATTATTATTATTATTATTATTATTATTATTATTATTATTATTATTATTATTATTATTATTATTACATTGTATTCAAATTCGCTCGCGCTTCAAACTTGTAATTACTTGGGTGTTCTTGGAGCTAAAATGGCAAAGCCTAACACTCTCTCTTTGCCAGCAATCATTTAAATTTTCCTAAGGTTGCCGCAACCGAGAACCGCACAGCGTCCGCAACTCACGACCCCATATTCCAGGTACAAGAGTGTCATATCAGTAAACTGGCTGTCAAGAAACTCACCTTAATCACCAGCGAATATATATTCGCGCATCAAAACGCCTTCATTCTTCACCATCATCGGAGATCGTACACGCGAATGCAAAAGGGAGTGATTCTTCACAATTATTAATTATTGGCATACAGTCGGAGTGGACAAAATCTCAAAAAAACCCCAAAACGGTATGAGAAGGTAACCACAAACTACTCACCTAAGTCCCACGTTATTTATTTCATCCCACATCTCTGGTGGACACTCGTAGAATGGCTTTCCTGTCGAGTCAATAATACTCTGAAATACGAAAAGATTAGGTGACTGGGGCCGTAAATTGGCTGCTGTAGAGGGGTCGTTATTGCCGTCGAAAACGTCTTCTTTGACAAGCTGATTTTCCGCTTCAAACGCTCATGCTTGGCAGAGTAAAATAGGGCTCGCATTTTGGTGGATTGGAAGAGGGCATAGAGTTTTTCCACATAACGAGCAAAAAATTCCTTGTTTGTGAGATTTTCTCGTTTCAACTGCGCTATAAATACACCCCCTCAATCACCGTCGTTTCGATTTTTGACGCCGCAACTACCGTGAAACCACTGTTTCTTACAGCAGGATTGTGGTTGCTGTGTAGAGGACCTTCCCTCCCCCCCCACACACACACTTGCTTGAAAGTTTCTCTTTAAAATGGGTAGGGAGTGGGGTGATTGGGTGGTTCTGGTAAGGTGTAGGTAGGTTTGACCCTGAGACACCCCCATGTCACCCATCCCGATGCCCTTTGCCCACCTCTACATCTCACTCTCCCCACCCCCTCGACGGTGGAATTTTGAGAAAATACATGCCGAAATAGGTCATGCAGAGGGAAGAGGGGGTCCCACAAAAGGAATTTCAAGGAGGGCACAATTATACAACATTTTGCGATGCAGTAACCTGGCTAGAGGATGGCTGCTGCCGAAGCATGAAGAGGTGTAAAAAAAACCATGAAACGAGCAAGGGTAGGGGGGGGGTGGATTTTTTTCAAGAGGAAATACTCCTTGGTGGCCGAACCAATTGCCGTTGAAAAGCTGGGAAGTTGAACAGTGGTCGTAGAACGCTAGACCAGAGAGCAGAGAAAAACAAAATAAACGCCGGAATGACTGAAAGGCGGTTGAAGGGATTGGTAACTAACAAAGGAATGGCACGGATGAGATTTTTTTCTAAGCCCTATCTGACTTACCTGCACTGCAGAGTAGGCATTATTGACAAGTATGTCCAGTTGTCCGTTGTGGTCTCGTTCCACTTTCTCAAAGAAGGCCTTGACTTCGTCCATGTTTGAGTGGTCAACGTAGGCAGCAATTCCTTTTCCACCTCGGGAAGTTATTTCTAAAAAGAAGGATTTCGAAGAAGGAACTCCTCTAGCAGTCTTCACCCAGAATTCCCAAGCATAGCCCTACTCAGAAGCATTTATACTCCACGACACTAGCGTTTCAGTCGCCGAGAATCTCGCGATAGTAATCGACCTACTAGCGCTACCGGTAATCATTGGACCGCTACAACTGCTAATCCAACCGGGGCACATCATTAGTTGGGGATTTTGGTCGAGTCCGTACGACCCCCTCCCCCTCACCCAGCTGCGAAGGGTTTCTACAACCTTCAACCTCTCTCAAAAACTTAGAAGGCAGATACGACCCCATCCCCCAACAACGAGCTCATACGACTCCCCCCTTTATAGCGTCCCTGAGACAAGAAAATCAACTATGAAACAAATTTTTCTCAGATCAAATACGCCCCCCCCCTCTCGCCAGTGACCGAACACGCCAACCAGAACT